GAATATGTGGCTTTACAAGGGCTTGGACAGAGGGGCGGCTTTTTTGGGGTGGGGGCTCTGTCTTAGAGAGAGAGAGAAAGAGAAAGGGTCAGGGCGTTGCAGCTGCACAGACTACAGGAGGGCTACTTTCAATAACAGCAGACATTTTCACCTTGTCCCCTCTGAAGCTCTGGTTTACAACAGCTTAGTGGTTTGGTGTTGACTTCCTTCATATCAGTAATTCTTTCTGGCAGTCTTCATGCACATGCAGCTTCAGCTGAATCGGAAATATTTGTGCAATATTCTTGCCAAGATCAAACAGGCCTCAGAACAGCTCAGTATGAGAGGCAGCAGAAAACAAAAACAGAGGCCACTCTATCAGCTTGTTTTTCCTTATTTTCACTTGACTGACTGCTCTATGGATGTCAGTTTCACTTCATCAGCGAGAGCTCTGCTTGTTAAAATTCCTCCACACCCAGTGCATACCAAGAAGTTCTTTTGCTCAGGATTTATGAAGTGTGGACAATTGCATTTGCAGTCAGATGTTAAGAGACATCATCTGGATGCATTCAAAGCCAGAAGCTCATACAAGATATTGGGAGATATATGGCATTTTACTTGTGGTATTTAATGGCCCCTCATGTGTCCAGGATTCAGCATAACAGGATCATATGATGTCTTTGTTTATTTAGAAGGTCATGAAGCCGAGAGATGCACAAATGGGGGATGTTTGTTGGAGTTTCCTGCTGTTAAAGCCAATAAACATTTGACATTCTACAAGCTAAACTCTGACTTTGAAGCTTCAATTTTTCTTCTCAGGCAAAAGCTGTTCCTTTATATACGAGCAATCATGACATGTTATGTAATGATATATGAAGACATAACCTAAAAGATGTGTGCAATGTCATTCAGTCCTTCTTGCATTCCAGTACATACTCGCCAAAGTACAGCCTCAGAATTGACAATATTACACCCAAGGAGAGAGAGAGATTTGTCAGCTAGAAAATGGAGATGTACTATTTTGCCATTTTAACAATGGTGGATTGAACTCTCAAATATGACACTTGACAAGGGTTATTATTATAATAATAATAATAATAATAATAATAATAATAATAATAACGCAAACAACAAAGAATATGCCATTCCCATATGTATTTTTGTAATTTTGTAAAATTAATAATTTTGTGATCAACTCTTCTTTGCCATTTTGAAATGAATTATAGAATTAAAACAATCAATATTTTCAGATAAATTAGTCATAGAGTTATATCAACATCTTATCAAAATGACTCATAAATCTTGGTAATTGTAGAATATTGTATGCATTGAGCAGATGTTTTTTCCATCCCTGATGCTTCTCTTCATTTGACCAGCAGAGGGAACTGAAGTATTTAAGTTGCTAAAAGAGTCCTTTTACTCAAAGCTGGATGCACTTTGTTTTCTTTCCACAAGATGGCGACCTCATCTCACACTAGATATCAATTATCTATTGGAGAGATTCTGTGTTACTTATTACCTATTTCTACCAGGTAAGGCCCTGGGACATGTTGAGCGTCACACTGTGAAATCCCAGGGCAGGTCTGAATTTAGCCCCCCTCTCTCTCAGTGGGTAACCCTGCCGCAAGCTCACACACCCGCCCCAGGAGACGTGAGCACCAGCTCCCCTGCTGTTTTCCACCTGACCTCCCAAGATCCCTGCCCAGTCAAGTGGAGGCCTCCACCGATCACTCCTGACTGTTCCTCCCATAGGCTCCACTCCATGGAGTAGAATACAAAGGGAATATGCCCTGACATTTCCCATGAGCCATTTACAGGAAGGTCCCTGAGGTTTCTTTTTTTCCATTTTATAAATCACTGGTTAGGAAAGTGGGGTTTCGAGGATGTAAAAGTACACAAAAGCTTCCCAGCAAAAAAATAATTGTTTCCCTCAGTAGGTATCCCAAAGGAGAAAATGTATGGGAATGATCATGTTAATCACATAATTAATTCTCACTAAGCTTTTATTCATATGGATTATCCCCCTCAAGGTAAACAAGGAGAGAAAAGTCATCCTCCATACTGTCCTTATGGAGACATTGCCCTTGGCAACCAGCCGAGGTCTTTGCATGCATGGAACAAGTCCCGACGTCTTGAATCCCCCAATTACAAGCCCTACTATCACATATAATGTGTGCATGTGTGTCTGGCCCTGTCCTGGGAGTTAATTAACCCTCACACACAACAGCACACACACCAACATACTACAGGTATATACACTGTACATGCATACACAAACAGCACTCATGAGCATTCAGTGATATGGAAACACCCATAAACAAATGCTCATATATACACCCACACACACACCTTCAGATGCTGCTATCTTAGCGGGAGTAAACAAGCTATGTCCTTTTGTAGAGAAACACAAGGTGATTAAGTGTTCCGTCTGACATTTAGATATGTCACAAGATTAAAGAGTGCAATTCACTGTTTCTGCAAATTACAGAGGAAAAGTCATATTTAATGGGTGTTACATGAATCCTTAACTTTACTGCTCGGGTTTTAAATGTGATCCTGTTTTTGTTGGGCTGAGAGAAATAAGGAGTTTAATTTTACCTCACTTTTTTGAGCAAGTTTTATGTGTTCTGCCTAGTCAGATCTTTTATTTACGTAAAAGTACTAATACTACCATGTAAAATTACTCAGTTGTAGGTAAAACTCTTTCATTAAAACTCTGAAAAAGTATTACCATTCAAATAAACTTGATGCATTAATGTGTTGTGCACTTTAATGTAGCATCTAGTAAAGGTGTGGCTAATTTGAATTACGTTATATATTGCTGGGTGGCTTCAATCTATAATCCTAAATTACTAGTTGATTTATATTTTCTATCAATAATCTAAATATGCAAAGTAATTAATAATGAAAGCTGTCAAATAAATGCAATGGAATAAAAAGAACAATATTTGCCTCCTAAATGAAATATAAAGTAACATAAAGTGGTTACCACTTGTGTAAATGCATTTAGTTACATTGCACTGCTGGCTTGGTATTGATGTGGGAAAACATAATACATTTTATTTTATCTATTTCTATTTTTCTGATTATTATCATGGTGATGCTCATTATGAAAGCCTATGTATTGGCTCACATTGTCTTTTAAAATATGTTTTGTCTTATTTTGTTTTCATTGTTTGCACCAGATCCTACCTACCTGTTTAAGAGAGCACTGTGCACATACATTGTCCTTTATTGTAAAATGAATCAATACCCAGCCTCATTAACCTGCTTTGGGGCACTGGGGCTAAAATTGGCTCTTGGGCTCTCATAAACCCCACAAGTTCATCCGCCTCTGAATTATGTACAGGACTCTTGTGTTGGAATATTACACAAACCCGTTTTTTTTGTGTGGTAATTTATGGTGTGGTGTAATTTGACACATTTGATGGGCTTTCTGGGGTCCCTATAATCCAGTAAATGTGCAACAGAGAAGAACTCTAAAAGATGTACTCTCTTAAAAACTGTATGGATGCAAACCTATTGGGTCAATTCTCACCAGTTACCAATATCATAAAACTGGCTTTCATAAATCCAAATCTAACAATAGAAATACTCCAATACGACTGTGTGTGATTTGAATTGCCACGCAGGACGTACAGTCATGGATGTTGCTTTTAGCATTCAGGTCACGCCTCACAGCCAGTCTGTTATTGCACCTCACACACACATACACACACACACTTCACCTTACAGAGTGTTTCAAATATGAATTGTGTAGGGTGTGGGGAGCAGGATCATTACATTAGATGCCATATGTTACACATGATGGATGGGCTTGGGTGATGGTACATAGATAAAACCAATCGACAGGTAACAGCAGAGTACCGGACCCTGCAGTTTAATTAAGTAGCTTACAGTGCATTCTGAAATTACATTTCTGCCCAAGACAGAAAGCCATACAGAGACAGAAGTGACAGAAATGTAGAAGAAGCCACCGTGTGCTGTTCAACGTTGCATTTTGGGGTATGCTTCACTGCCAGTGGGTTCTTTAGCCTGTAGACAAACAAGAAGGGCTGCGATTTAAAAGCCCTCTTTGGGATTTTGAGGTCTTCCCAGTATCTGTAGAGTAAATAAACACCACAGGCTCTGTAGCGTGGTGATACGGACCCCCACTGTCCACAAGCCAAGACGCAAGAACCCAGTTTTAAAAAATAGAAAAAAGAACAATACATCATCCTCATCTGACTCAGTGGCTCCC